TTTGCTAGTTTTTAGCAAGGAGTAATATACCTATTAGCAAGCTGCTAATTAGAGAAAGGAAACTCCTCAAAACTGAGAGAATTTCTCCAGCCCCTCTCCCACAATATGCATTTTGAGATAACTTTGGCACAAGGTGAGTCATCCCAGGCCATAAAACAATGGACATGAATCTTAAAGAAAGGCAGATTTCCAAGCAAATACATAGCTCATTAACATACCTTAAGAAAGATATTTCCATGAGAAAAACTGCATTGGTTAGCTCAAGGTTTGGATAAAGTTAAGTTCAGGTGGAACCGGGTGTCACCATAACAACACAGAATTAAACGAAACCTCCTTTAATTTTGTGTAGAGAAGGAAAAAAAAAAAATATATGCCACTTGCAGTTTGTTCTCTCCTGCCACTTGTGGATCTCTGACCTCCCTACCCAGGCTGTTAACACTCTCAGTAGATGTGTTTCAGTTCAGTTAAGTTCAGTTGCTCAGTCGAGTCCGACTCTTTGTGATCCCATGAACCGCAGCACACCAGGCCTCCCTGTCCATCACCAACTCCTGGAGTCTACCCAAACCTATGTCCATCGAGTCGGTGACGCCATCTAAACATCTTGTCCTCTGTCGTCCCCTTCTCCTCCTGTGTTTATTCTCTATTATTACACAAATTTAGGCTTATTTATTAATAGAAACATAGAACTAGATCAACTATCTAAGTATATACAGGGAATTAGTTACACTTATAGTCTCTGGTGGATATTTTCCTTTCTCCTACCCTACTCCTTGTTCTGTACTTTAGTCCTATGCTAGAATTCACTCTTGCATATTAGTATAAGAATTGCTATTCTTACTGAAAGTTTATTGATAATGTTTCTGTTACTACTTCTACTTAACCATTTGTACTCTGAATACTGTATTAAGCAAATTTCTACTTATCACTGGATTCATCATTCGAGTAGAGTCTGCTACAGTTAATTACTTTGAATCAGTCTGTTTTGTAGGCTTCCCAGGTGGTGCTGATGGTAAAGAACCCTCCTGCAAAGGCAGAAGATACAAGCGACACGGGTTTGATCCCTGGGTCGGGAAGATCCCCTGGAGAAGGCAATGGCAATCCACTCCAGTATTCTTGCCTGGAGAATCTGACGGACAGAGGAGCCTGGCGGGCTATGGTCCATAGAGTCTCAAGGGTCAGATGCGACTGCAGTGACTTGGCATGCACGCGTCCTCTGACATTTGCGCATGCTGTCGTCACATTTTCTCTTTGGCTCTACTACCCATCTCCTTTATCTTGCCCCATGAGCTGCTCAGATGAGTTCAGTCTCCTAGTAAATAGTGCTTATGCATTTACAATACTGTTAAGGCTTCACTTATTCTACCGCTTCCTCTTTGCTTTATGCAAAGGTTATTTATCTATTATACTTTTAAGGGAAAGCTTGTTGGAGAAAAATAATATGGTCTTCAGTTCAGTTCAGTTGCTCAGTCATGTCCAACACTTTGTGACCCCATGGACTGCAGCACGCCAGGCCTCCCTGTCCATCACCAGCTCCTGGAGTTTATTCAAACTCATGTCCATTTAGTCGGTGATGCCATCCAACCACCTCATCCTCTGTCATCCCCTTCTTCTCCCACCTTCAATCTTTTCAAGCATCAGGGTCTTTTCAAATGAGTCAGTTCTTTGCATCACGTGGTCAAGGTATTGGAGTTTCAGCTTCAGCATCAGTCCTTCCAATGAATATTCAGGACTGATCTCCTTTAGGATGGACTGGTTGGATCTCCTTGCAGTCCAAGGGACTCTTAAGAGTCTTCTCCAACACCACAGTTCAAAAGCATCAATTCTT